AGGCTGAGGAGCACTTGGCCAGCCAGGGAGGCAGCAGCTCGGGAGGGACCCTCTCTCCGCAGCACCCCCAGGCCCGGAGCCCACAGCGGTAATTAGACATGAAAAGATGGGCCTAAATCCAAGGGCCAGAACTCCAAATTCTTCTCTCATTTCAAATAGAAGGCTTATTAGTTCAACATGAGAGCTCAGCCCGGAGCCACGGGGGATGGGAGCCCAGTGCCTCTCCGTCCAACATTATATGGTGGGTGTGCTGGGCTGCTCCCGGCCTCCCCCTCAGCACTGGGCCATTGCCAAAAGCGTGTCTTCTCTCTTGCTCAAGAGGGAGAGGAAAGCTGTGCAAACATGCTGACACCTACTATGTGCCAGGCACTTGTTTAGCTTTACAGCTTTCCCATATTCTTCCCATTTTGCAGAGAAGAACACTGAGGCTCAGAGAGGTGAACAAGTGCTAAGCAGGAAGAGTCAGGGCTCACACCTAGGTCTGGCCATCTCACTGCCTGCACAAACCAAAGGCTGGAGAGCCTTCTCAGGCCCCCGCTCCCTCCCTGGCAGCCCCACAGGGGCCAGCATGGGGCTGCGCAGATGGGACAGGTACACAGGTAACATGGTGTGTCATTTGGGAGGGACCCCAGAGCTTGAATGCACTGCTATTCTGGAAGCAGTGCAGGTGGGGCCCACATTCCTATGGTTGTCAGTACAAATATCTAAAATGACGATTCCTCTCACCTCAGGACACACGCTTCTCCCCAGCTTCCAGCGGGCCCCTGAAGTCCCCACTCCCCAGCCCCTTCTCCTCCTGCCCCACACTTACTCACGCTCGCTCACGCTCGCTCACATGTAAGATGAATACAGAAGCTCTACACCATTCTGGTGGGGGGGGCGAAGACAGGAGCAAAAGTTTATAAAGGGTTCTGGAAGATGTTCTCTGAACGGTAAATTTCACTAAGCCAAAGAAGGCCACAGGAGCAATGGGCTGAAGGTCAAGGGCATGGCTTAGTGCCTTTGCTGTGTATTCATTCACTGGCCAGGCCCCCAACCTCTCTGAACATCCCCCTCCCGTGTATTACAGGTCCTATATCATCTGCCAGCCTACACAAAGGTCATTGCCACGTAGCAATCTTTAGTCTATAAAGAGCAAAGTACATCAGGGACTATCAGGGAAAGGAGGCTTCCATGCTTTTATTTATCTATTTATTTTCAGAGAGGGAGGAAGGGAGGGAGGAGAGGGAGGGAGACACGGATGTGAGAAAAACGTTCATCAGTTGCTTCTCGTACCCGCGACCCAGGCACGTGCCCTGACCGGAACTGCACCAGTGACCTTTCACTTTGCAGGATAACACCCAACCAGCTGTGCCACGCTGGTCAGGGCGGAAGCTCCCATGTTTTAAGGGCTGCGTACCAGGTCTGGGCCAGAAGATTTAAACGTGTCATCTCAGTGAATCCTCTATTCAGGAAACGTAAATGCGGGGAGTCAGTGCTCAGCAAACATCCGCTAGTTCCCTTACATCCTCAGCCTCCCTTGCAGCTGGTTGGGGGCCCGGTGACAGTTCTGACCAGTGTGCTGGAGCTGGCGTGAGGTGCGTCGCCTCCTGGCTGAAGCAGCTGCATGTTAAGTGTGCCCGTGCCACGTCTCTCTTCCCCTTCTGTGGTAACTGGATGCCGCACGATCCAGGGGTGTGGCTCCAAAGACGGTGGAGTGGCCATCAGTCTGGATCCCTGAGTAACCACGTGGAGCAGAGAGCCACGTCAGATGAACAACGGGAGTGAGAATTAAACCCACGGTGTCAATCCGCTGAGAGTTTGGGGTCATGGGCCGTGGCAGCTTGTGTTACTTAGCCTCACAGTATCGTTACTGGTGTTATTCTGATTTTCACAGATAAGGAAACCAAAACCATATGCCCAGAAAGTGGCAGAAATAAGATTCAACACAGATCTGTGACTCCAACACACGCTCTCTTTAAATTACAGCCTCTTGTTGCTTAATAAGATCATTCCCTTCCTAGAAGCAGTCTTGCCCAAACACACGCACACGCACGCAAAACAAAAATCCTCCTACCCTCGTTGTCCCTGGGATGGCTCCGCAATCAATGCCGGATGAAAAAGGGGAATTTTGTAAAGCATTCTGAGCCTGGAAGAGGATCAAAGGCAGGAAGAAGGGGGCCCAATTGAATCTCAGGGATCTCTTCCCCTGGGCTTTGGGGCTCACAGGAGGTTTTGATGCAAGAGGAAAGACTACATAGAGGTTTAGAACACGGGACGGGGAATCCGATCAGCCAGGGAGCACACCCCAGCCTCACGCACTCTCCTGCACTGTCTGAGCGGCACTTTCCTGTCTGTAGCATGGGGACAGTCTCTGCGCCAGCCTGGAGGGTACAGGTGGGAGAAAGCGTTATCTAGCTGCTGGCCGACGGCGAGCCCTCTCAAAGTGTCTGCCACCCTGAGGGCCATCGCTCACTGAGGTGGCTCAGAGCACCAGCCCTGCTGGAGGGGGACCAGGCAGCGGGACAGCCAGGACACAGAGCCCGGAATCTCAGACTGCAGACCTGGCCCAGCCCACGTCCCCGCCACAGACCCAGGGGCGGAACGCAGAGAGAAGCGTCCGACCAGACACAGTGCAACACAGCAGGGGAGCCAGGGTGCTTCCAAGCCCGAAGTGTCTTCCAGGAGGATGGCCTTTTATCTCGGGTGCATCTGGGGGCTGCGTATCAGCTTCAACTCATTATCTGCACATATGGGCTTCGTCCTCTGGTTCAGGATGGGAAACAAAGGGTGGGAGAGAAAGGACGGGCAAATACGAGCTGATGAAATATCATCCCTCAAGCGCCAGAAACCGGGATATTGTCAGTGACGTCACACTGGGCTGCCTGCCACGAGGACAGGGCTATCGTGAGAATACGCACAAGATTTTAACTCAGAAGTCCTCGGTGAAGCGGGAGAAGGCAGGAAGGAAACAACAACAAAAAAACCCAAGTTATTTTATGTAGCCCTGCCTTCCGTCCCACAGCAGATACACACGCACACCGTGCCCCAAGAGATCAGAGCGGGAAAGGGTCAAAGGTGACCCCTCATTTCACAGTAACAATAATACTGATGACAATGCCCATGGCCATGAGTATCAGCCGAGCCCTGACCGCGTGCTAGACCCTGTGCTAAGTGTTCTATATGGTTCATCTCGTTACCCCAATCATACCTCACTGTTGGGGTATCATTGGTCCCATTTTATCAGGAAACTGAGGCACCAGAAGTTGAAGAGCCCAGGGCTGCCGAGGTAATAACGGGGAGAAAGCCGACATCCGACCCCAGGCGGCCTGACCACCACACGAGGCTGCCTCCTCCACAGAAGTAGAGAAGCTGAAGCTCAGGGAGGGGCGGTGACTCACGCGAGGCCACACAGCCCCACGTGTAACAGAACTAGGGCCAGAACCCAGGTCTTCCTGACTCCCGGGGCCGCGGCCTTTCCGCCCCGTCCCGCCGCCTCTCAGCGCTCACACACACGCAAGCACCAGGGAGCACGCTTCTGCTCAGCTGCGAGTTGTTCGAGTCACTCATGAAAGCAGCCGTCTGGGGTGCGGACAAGGGGTCAGGGCTGGACCTTAAGAGAAGTGAGACGATGAAAGAGCTGCTTTGCCCGTTGCCAGCACTGGGGGCTCATCATCTCACTCTCTCCCATTTTAATAGGAGTTTTCACGATCTGCTCCCCCTCCCTCCAGGCCCGCGCTGAGGCGGGTCCAAGGTGCCAGGCTGTGCGGCAGGAGGAGCCCGAGCTGGCAGGTTTGCTCGGTGGCATCAGGTTGCAGAAATGCCCGTTCAACCCATCATCTGCTCCTGGGGGGGCGGGGGAGGGGGTGCGTGAGTGCTGGTTTCCAAGGCCCCTCCCTGTGCTGTGTCCCAGCTGAGCGTGAACAAATGTTCCTGATTTTCTTCCCAATGGCTGATGAAATGGGCCAGAAGAACAGCTCTCTGGAAAGAGGGGTCCCTAAAAGGGACAGGCCGGCCACCAGCAGTTGCTCCTCCCAGGGAAGGGAAGAGAGTGAGCGCCTGACGGGCACCAGGAGAACAAGCAGCTTGTGAGCCCTCAGACAGGGGGCTCCCAGCAAGCACCCACATTCCCCTGACCACCAAACCCCGATGGAGGCCAGGAGCCTCATTCACTTTGCATTGTAGGGTGGGGCAGGGCGGGGCAAGCAGACCGAGAGGCACCCTCCACCAGACGGAAGGCAGAGCCGGGCTGCCTAGCACTCTAAAAGGTGGGACTTGTCTGACTTTCGAGTTGCAAAGCCTCTCGATCTCCTAGGCCAGCACCCCACTGCACAGGCTGGGAAAGCAGGTGCCAGAATGAGTGGGGAAGTGACTGATCCAGGGCCACACTGATGATCCAGAAGAGGCGGCTTCCGGATATGCCAGTTTCCTCCCTTCCTGACCCCGTCTCACGAATCCATGCCAGAAGCCCTTGCTTGGATACCCCTGGCGCGCCGGTCCCTGCCCAGCAGGTGTCCTCCAGCCCAGCCCTCAGACGTCCAAAACCTCATTCAGGAACTCGTGGAGCTATTTCCAGGCTCATGTGGAATTTTCTATTGGAAGCAGGGCGGAGGGGCCCTTTTTGGACCAACCCAAGGTGTCCAAACTCCAGCTCCAGATGAACTTCTGCTCCTAGAAATCGCCTTGGAATGTCCAAGGAGACACTGCCATTCTGACCACAGGTTGTGTAAAGATACCGCCAAGGGTCAGGCATTCGAATGTATTTGGGGACAAGGCAATAAGGACACAGAGTGACCACGGCTTGAAATTTTGCTGAACCCGAGTTCTCGAAGTTTGTCTGGGAACAGTGCGAGTTGGCCCACTCATGATAACACTAAATCCAAACACTAAATCCAAACACGGGTGCCAGCAGCCCCGGGGTCTCAGCTCCCTCTCCCCTTCAGGGCACTCAGGGGTGGGGGCGTGTGCAGAGAGCAGGGGTGGGCCACAGGAGCTGCCACCCCTCTGGGCCCTGTACTCACACCCAGGTTCCCAGGGCAGGGCGGGCTGTTCCGGGCGGGCTTCCCTCCTCAGAGAAACCAGAGTCACTAAAAACAAAACAAAATGAAAAAAAAAACCCCTTTGTTTTCTGGCCTCAAGAGCTTGTCCAGAGACAGCAGCTCCCCCACCCTTTCCTCTGTCTCTCCGCTTCTCCTTGTCTTCTACTCAAAATAAAGATCATGCTGATCTTTCAGGGCCAGTCTGTCCTAGAGTGTGTTGCCAGCATCCAACAAAAACACTGGGTGGGCTACAAGGAAAGCAAGGACCTCACCCCTCTTTCAAGTCCCGCCCCATTTCCATTGCCTCTGCAGGGGACTCGGGGACACGGGAGGGGCACTGCCCAATGCACACCCAGTTTCTAGCCAAGAGAAAGATGAAAACTCCCACCATCTCTAACTGGCTCACTTATACTAACTTGGGGTGCAGGGAGGAGGGAGGGAATTAGAAATGGGAAGCAACAGGCCCTCGGGTGTCCCTTCAATGCCGAACAGCCCCACACGTGACAAAGTAGACGCTCTTCGCAGATGCCAGCGGCCACCTGGCCTCCCCAAGGCCTCAGCAGGGACGGACACACAGACAACACACAGGGGCCCTGAAATCAGACAAGGGCACACGTAACAGGTTTCCACCAATGATGGTGAAACGACTAGACGAATGTGGCCTGTAGACCACAGATGGGGGGACAGGGGGCTCTTGTTGGCTGCTGAGAAAATTATCACTTGAGCCGAGGCTGCTCAAGTTGTTAAGGCCCCCCCATCACCCTCCACCCTTGATTTATGCCCAGAGGAATGTGGATAGGAGGGAACGTGATATGCCAGAGGACCCTCACCCACAAGCAGGTAGGGATCTGGCCAGACCGGGGAACAAAGGTACGACTTCTACACAGAGGGCGCATTCAGAGGTTTGGGTTTCTCTCTCCAAAGAAACCTCAAAAAGTTCATTCTCCCATTCATTTTCTCCAAACGATTTGCTGTTAGTGTACAGTTTCTCTCGTTTTTATTTTTCCTGGCGGTGACTTTGTATTCATCAAGACACCCTGCCAACCACCCCCTTCCCCAGGAAAAACCACCCCCTCACAGCCCAGCTCCCCAGCACACGGTGCAGTTACAACTGAGGCACCCCAGCCTCACACTAGACCCTCTTCCAGAGCCCGGCTGCGCGGCGCGGTGCTCCTCTGGGCGGAGCCCGCGTATGCTGGCTGAGAGGGTCTGTGGTTGTCTGTCCTGGATGTCGGTACAGTTAGAAGGAACCAGGACTCGCCTTCCGTTGGGTGAAAGGGCCAGGGGAAGGGCGCCCCCTGGCGGGAGCCAACTCACCTCCATCCAGCCGGGTCCCAAAGCCGGCGTGAACCCACCCGAGCCCGCCAGCCCGCCAGCCCTCCAAGCGGACTCCCGCTACACCCCCTAGTCTGGTAATAACCGAGCTTCGTTCGGATCCACCGAGCACCCCATGGAATCTCTGCTTTCCCAAACCGCACACACCATGTAGGGGATCAAGGGGTCCCCGAAGAAAAGGGTGGAGCCCCGCCCCGCCCCGTTGCCAGGGACCCCAAAGGCAGCAAGCCCTCAGTGCCGCTGCTGGGCCCAGAAATCCGCCCGGCCCAGATTTTCGCTCCTAATCCCTAGTCCCCACCTGCCCTCCTACAGAGTGGCGGGGCGCGCACACCCTCCCTCCGGGGGCAGTCCTCCTCGAGACCCCAACCTTGGAACCACACCTGCCACCCTCCGCCATTCTCCTGGCGCCCCCCAAGCACCTACCCAGAGCTCTGAGAGCGGATTGGCGCCGCACCTGTCCGCGGGGAAGCCCCAGCCCTCGGTGGATTCGGAGCAGGATTAGAGGCGAGCATGTCTTCCCTGCCCCCTTCCCATGTCAGTTTAAGTAAAACTTGGTTCCCGAGCTTCCCCGGGACCGTCTTGGGATCCCCCTAATTCCACCCCCACCCCACCCACCGAGCCCAACAGTTTCCCGAAGGGAGCGCGCGTGGAGTCTCCAAGTCCCCGGGCGCAGCGGCAAGACGCACTGAGTGAAAAGAAGGTGCCGAACCCCCTACCTTTCAGCTGCAGCGGCCGGACCCCTCGCCAACTCCCAGTCGCGGGGGAAACTTTCCCCGGGCAGATCGGCGCTCTCGCAACTTACTGGGCGCCTGCTGCCTTCCTGGCGGCGGCGTGTCCGGGGACCCGCTGGCGCGAGGCGGTGGCTGCGCTCGCTCGGGGCTCGGGGCTGGAGGCCGGGGCTCGGGCGGCCTCGCGCGGCTCCGCTGTGGATCGCTCCACGCTGCGTCCGCCCCGTAGCCTGGAGCCCCGGAGATGCCGGCGGCAGCTGCAGCGGTCCGCCAGCCAGCCCGCCGGCCCCACCTCCCAACCACCGCTCCGTCCCTCCCTCTCTCCCTTGCTCCCTCCCCTCCCCAAACCTCCTCCCCTTCAGTCTCCAGTCGCCGCCGCCGCTGCCTTGGCGGCCGCCTTGAAGGCACGTCTGCTCCCGCTGGCTGCCCCTCGCCTCCTCCCTGCCTTGGTCTCCGCCTTCAGTCCAGCATTCAGGCCTTGCTCTGGGGCGCCCTGGGGCCAACTTCTGTCCTTCTCCTCTTCCTTCGCCCCCTGCCTGCCTCCCCCTTCTGCTTATAGGCCCACTTCCGTTGGGGAAGTGGGCAGAGTGGCACGCTGGACCTCTGGAGTATTTATTCCAGGGAAACTTTACGCAGTCTCCGGGACCTGGCTGCAGTATTGGAGGGGGGTGACCCCTCCATCCGGGCCTTGCTCCTTGGCTCCCCGATGCCCTGGGAGTACCTGCTGAAAGCCAGGGGGGCTCACCCTCTCTGTGCTGCTGTTAGAGTGTAGCAGATAATAGGGCCACTGGAGGGGGTGCAGTGGGGAGGGGCCTGACTCCAGACCAGATGCAAATAACCGGATTGCGAGAGGCCAGATCTGAGTCTCCAATCTCAGGACTATCTTTTCATCTTCTTCTGCCACAGCCTCACAGCCTCACACCCCCCCCCCCGGCCCCCTACCCCGCCTTGGCCCCTGACACATGACTTCACTGAGACATTTAACCTCTGAACCTCCTCTGTGAGGCAGCGACCCACTCCGCTTGCCTCAGACAAAATGGGCAAGCAGGCAGATCAAAGCCCAACAGCCCAAGTGAAAGTGTTTACTAGACCCGGATGAGAAGGGCTCCTGTGTCCACTCCTCTTCCCTAGGCAGCTGTTTTTTGGTTTTGGTTTTGTTTTCTGAGGCTCGTTTCTGAAGCTTTCTCACCCAGTGTTCGGTGGCCCTGGACATTCCAGCACACACCAGCTCTGCAGGAGGGCCCTTGGTCAACTATTTTGCACTAAGAAGTGAGTGACTGATAGGCTTGAAACCTTCGCCAGTCTTGGGTGTGAATATGGGTGATGTCAGGCCACAGGGCAGAGTTTCCAGGGGCAGGAAGTTGCTGCCATTCCTTGCCCACATTCCAGGAAAAAGAATACATCCCTCTAAGGACTTCGAGGATGTCTGGTCCTTTCAGCCATTTCACTGAGTCACTGGGTAAATTGAGGAGGGGCTAACAGAGATGTGGCTGGGAGGGAAAAAAATGGGATCCACAGTTTTTAAAGGGACCCAGAGAGAGCAATGCTTCACACAAGGGAAGGCAATCTCTAATAGAGCAAGTTCTGGAACTCCAGGACAGGGAAAACGCTGACGGGGCCTCAGGCTCCACACTCCCCCCTTCAGCTGCCAAAACAGGGCTGGGGGAGAGGCTGACCCTCTGAGCCGAGAAACCCCACAGGCCCCGCGTGGATGGAGCGCTGCTGGAAGAGGCTATCTGTGTGGGCCTCCTTGGACGCAAGGCGCCACATAAATTTAAAGAGGAAAAAAGTGTGAGTCTGCAGGAGGGTGCTGGGGCCTGGGAGGTGGAGGCCAGAGACAGCAGGAGGGAGGGAGGAGTTTCTGAGGGGGGGAGCGGCGGGGGGGGTTGGTGGAAGCTGCGGGAGGAAGTGGGGGAAGAGGAGGACCTGCCAGGCCAATCGCACAGCTTGGACACCCAGCTGGGAGCACCGCTCCAGCTCCAAGTCCCAGTTCCCGGGGCCTCAGCCATCGCCCTGCCACCAGCGAGATGCTGGCCGTGTCTGCACACCAGACAGAAACATTCACTTCACAGCTTTCCTGAACTCACCTCATGTATTGCTATCATTGTGCGTAAATGTGCTTGTTTTTACAAAGAAATGTTATATCATTGCCATAAATGGAAAACCAGCATCACGTTACTATAAATAGAAGGTAACCATAAAAATAAATACAGTGGAAGTAAAAATGTTATTAAATTCTAACAACATGTATTTAACCACAATTTTTTAAAAATTCCAACAAGAGACGACTGCCCAAGGAAGGCGCTGAGCTGGGGCCCACTCTCTGCTGAAAAGGAAGACCAGTGAGGGCTCGAAGGGTGTTAAAGAGACAGCAATGGACGGAGACACCCGCACTGTGATCAAAAGGATTGAAAGAGAGCTGGAAAGGGGCTCCCCACCCCCAGGTCCTGGGGGTGGGGATCTGTCAGGGCTCTGAAGGACCATGGACGCATGACCTGAAATCTCCCTGAAGACCTCTGATAGCCTACACCTGGGAAACACGATTCTAAGTGTGTTCGGCAAAAAGTCCTGTTGGTCAAAAGTTAGAAACCGCAAGAGTTTAGTCCTGGGAGAAGAGAAGGTGACCCCCATTGCAGGGAGCGGGCCTCGCTCACGCAGGGTGGCCTTGGGGGAGCCGCACTCCCTTCTCTGGCCTGTGTCTCCAGCTGTGTGCACAGGGAGAGGCAGGGACAAAGGGCCTCTAGGCCCCCTGCTGCTATTCACTGATCAAAGCAAGAAAGGAACCGAGGTTGTGACTTGTTGGGAGACTGAGGAGGGGGATGTGGAGGGGAGGGACAGGAACAGGGTCCGCAGGCCTCAGGAGGGAGTGACGGTGGTGTCAAGGCCACACCGTTCACTGACTGGAGTCCAGGCTGTCATAACTCCAGGAGTGGCCTGGCCCACAAAGTTCTAGACGCCCCATGTGCCCATTCTGGAATGAGCCTTGTGGACAACACATTGGAATCCAGCCACCTCATTTTACAGGTGGAGACACTGAGGGAGGAGTTCAGACTGGATCCTAGTCATGGACAGAGAACTGGACACTGACCTGAGGGCTTGTGGCTCCCAGGCCATGGGCCAGTCCACTCCTCTGGTGTCTGGGGGTCTAGTAGAAACAGTTCTTTTAGAAATTCTCACCTTTCCCCCATGGGGCTCTTAGGCTCTGTTTTCTCAGGCACCTGGAGGAAATCTCGCATCAGTCTGGAAGCCCCAGACTCGTCAGGGTGTGGCCAGGGCTGAGCAGCCCGGGCGCTGTGCCCCAGTCACAGGGTACAGGATAGCCGGGGTGAGCACCCACACCCTGGTGCCCTGGGGGCACCAATGCAGAGCAGTGAGCTGCAAACCAGGGGTCCACAGGCCAGCATCCCAGGCCTCTCGATCTTCACAATGCCCTCCCCTCTCTGGGCCTCAGTGGCCCCATCTGTAGAATGAGACATTTAGTCTCAAGCTGGGCTGGCCGCTCCTGCTCACAGGCACCCAAGGATGGAGGAGAGAGGGGGAGCTCTCCCTCCCAGCTCCAGCCAGACTCGGGTCACCTCTGCGTCTGTTGTGTATGACAGTGCCTCACCAGTGCTTTCAAGGAGAAAGTGCCCTTCACCTAAAAAGAATTTAAAGTCACTGGAAGGGATGACCTCTTGCTCTTAACATTTATAAATTTGCAGCTGATTAGACGGTGAGCTTCTCAAGGATGAGGGCCCTGCCTCATGCACCTCTGAGTCTCCAGAACCTGGCCCAGAAGGGCGATGTTGGGGGCCGCTTCCTAAATGCCCTGCCTTGATCCAGCTACTCAAACCCTCTGAGCCTCGGCTGATGCATTTTGAAATGGGGACCATGACTACACCTCTGGCACTGGGTGGCTGGGAGGGTCTTGCAGAAAGCTTTCAGCACAGTCCTGGCACATAATAAGTGCTCAATAAAGACGAACCTGGTGCAGGAGCAGTTGGCTGGGTGACACCAGACGGGCCAGACCTTTTCCCCAAGAGGCATCTTGACCTCATAACCTAGCTTCTCAAAGGCAGCCTGCATTTTAAATATGTAATCATTGCCTCCCTGATTTTTTCCTGAATTATCTCTTTTTATATGTAATTTGCAATCATTTCCCACCCACCCTCCAAATGACAGTTCATTAAAAGTACTGCTGAGTGTGATTGAATTTCTTTATCTTTGCAATGATTTTCATAGAAATAAATTTGCAAATCCTAAGACCGTCCTTGGGGGGGGGGGGTTTGAAGGATATGGTCTTGACCCTCCAAGGCCTGGGCCAGTTGCAAGCTGCAAGCATCTCCCCACTCACCTCTCTCTCTCTCTCTCTCTCTCTCTCTCTCTCTCTCTCTCTCTCTCCCTCCCTCCATGGAGATAGGACAGGCCATGGCCAGCCTCTCTGCATGCTTTCAGGGAAAGGCCAAGGGCCCGCCTGCCAAGGTCCTCCTCCACCCCCAGGAATGCTGCTGGCTGGCAGTTGGAAGAAAGGGATGGTGCTCGTTTCCTCCCCTGGCCCTCTGCAGGAAGAGAGGTAGGTTCTGGGTGGCTGTGCTGGGAGGCACCCAGGGCCCTGCTTCTGCTGGGTGCTTGTAGCCTGGCTTTCCAGCAAGCAGAGCCCCAGGGAAGAGTGACTGCTGAACTTCTATCATCCGCCTTTGTTTTCTGTGTTAAGTGACAGTAAATAATACGATATTAAAATCTTCCATTCATGGAGCGCTTATGGGGGGTAGAAGCAACTCAGATTGTGAGGTTGGATAGACCTCAGTTCTAGGCTAAGCCTGGCTCCTTTGTTCACCAGCTGTGTGGCTTTGGGCAAGTTACTTCACCTCTCTGTGCTTTAGACTCCCAATCTCTAACAGGAGATATGGGTACTGTACGTGCCAGGCATTGTGATAAGCTCTTTAGAGCAGCAGCTCCCTTAAACCTCCAAACAACTCCATCAGGTGGGGATGGCTAGCAAGCTTGGTCCACAGAGAGAGAAACCTGGACAGACCTGCCTGGAGTCACTTAGCAGGTAAAGAACTGAGGTCCAAACATTTTCGTTTTCACTCTCAGCAGGACCGTACGCCCAGGAGAGAGGGGGAGAGGGGCGGGCAGGGCAGAGGTCGGGAGTCCTGGACCGTCCCGGCATTGAACACTCTGGCTCTGTGACCTTGGCCAAGTGACCTAACTTCTCTGAGCCTCCCTCCCTTTCTGTCAAAGGTGGTAAACACGGCGCTACAGGGTGGCTGTGAGCATTGAAGGAGCTGATGTCAGCAGAGGGGCTTTGAGAGCCAGACACGTGTTAGGGTGGTCGGTGACGCGGGCCATGAGAGAATCACAAAGAGAAGAAAGTGCAGAGAGTGAAGGTTTTATTTTACTTTCCCGAGGGAGGGACCAGGCTGGGTGCGGGGAAGTGCCCAGAACCAGCCCTGAGCGGGGCTGTGGGCTGCACCGGGTGATGGGGCGGCCGCACAGCCAGATGTCTCCATTGGGCTGCGGCTTGTTTCAATGTTCCCTTTGGGCCCCCGGTCCCATCGTCTGGTCTGGTTGTGGCGACCTGGTGTGTCCTGTTTCATAAGTTCCAGGAGCTTCTGCGCCTTCAGGGCACTTCCGGTGATTTTCTGGTCCTGAGGATAAAGGCTCATAAAACAATTAGGGTCAGTCATGCTTGGGGTCCAGCCAGCTCCGGGAAAGGGGGCCTGAGAAAGGGTTTTACCCTATTAGAACAAGCGTAACAAAGGCAAGTCTTTGTTTAAATCACCTTTGTCATCCGTGGAGGGCTGCCAAGATCACAAGTTCGAAACCTAGAGGTCCCCCAGCACAACTCGGTCACGCAACAAATGTGTGTGCAGGCACCACGGCGGGCCAGGAGCTGGCCCCGCACCTGGGTAAGGGAAGAATGAGCATGGTCCTGGCCCTCACTCGAATGATCGATGGGGAACAATGAATGCCATCAGCTGATTTTTAATGTAAGACTCACCTTGTACGACAGCTCTCCCATTTTACAGAGGAAAACACCGAGGTTAAGCTGGGAGTGGGCAGGGATGCCTTACCCAACATCTGCCAGCACATTGACTTCATAGTTTAGGGAGTTGGGGTCCCACTTCACACATCAGTGTTCTTTTGACCGAGCCTCCTGGCTCCGTTGCTGCTCTGGGATCCTAGTTGCTCTCGGAAAATGTCTCTCCTGTGTTAACCATCAGTCCCCACACCTCTGCTCTCAGCCCCGGAGCCTCCTGTGTCCCTGGCTTTCTGCATTCTGATGCGAACAGCTCGCAAAGAGAAAGAACTGGAAAGGCGAAAACACAGAATTGGTCAGGCAGGGGCCTCGGGCCACACCCAGGACTTGCCCCAGAAAGTCCAGGAGGTGGGTTTGTGACCAGTGGCTCTTCTGACCCTGAGCAGAGGACACCTGTCATCTGAGTCACTAACAGTCAAGCTGTGGGAGTGATGGTGATTAAGATCAACTTCCAGACATTAGAATGTCGAGGCTTTTGTCTGGAGCAGATTAGACTTGGGCGGAAACCTCAGCCTACTGTGACCCTGAGCGAGTCACTTGACCTCCTTGAAGCTCAGTTTCCTCTTTGGCAAAATGGACACAGTAACCACCTCTTGGGGTCCGGGATGGTGAGCTGCAGTAACCCATGTAACATGCCTATGGGAAGCACACAGTACGTGTTCGAGACAGCGGGGCCTACATTTCCTGCAGACAAAGTCTCATTGCTACACAAAGCCTTGACAGCCTACTGTGTGCTTAGAGGGGGGTGAGCCTGCAAAGGCCACAGCCAAGAACTGTATTGAGCTTTTACTAAATCCTAGCACTTCACTAAACACTGTGCCTCTGTTTATTCCTCCTAACAGTCCTATAAGTAAGGGTCTATTATCACCCCATTATCCAGAGGGGAAAACTGAGGCTCAGAGAGTTTAAGTTACCTATCTTTGATCACTTGGCAGGTGAGTGGCGGAGCTGGAATCGAACCCAAGCAGTCGAGTTCCAGAGCCTAAGTTCTCTACCTCGCCTCTCAGTGCTCGGTAAGTTCTTCCCTACAAGCCCGTGGTTGTTAACATTGTCCCCATTTTACAGATGAGTAAAGGGAGGGTCAGAGGTGGAATGGCTCACTGGGCAGGACAGGGGGCAGAGCTAGAAAGAACTCCAGACACTGTGACTGCAATGCCATGACTTCGGAGACATTGAAAAACTGACTGGCCTATAGGTCCCCTCTAGCCAGGAAGGGGCACCTGCTTGGAAGCTCAGGGACCCTCAAGGAGTCGTGGGGGGCTCGCAGGCCACTGCAGTGTGCTGAGGGTGGTGACCAGAATGCTAGTCTTCCCCCTGATCATTGAATTTGATGTCAGTTTCTTGGTCTGGGGTGCCCGTTGGCTGCAGAGAGTGGGAACAAGGGACCTGGATCCACACTGGGCCAGCTCCGGGCTCCAGGACGTCTGCACCTGCTGCTGCAGGGACAGGGCTCCGTGTAGTCGCAGGCCCTGCTCCCGTTACCTAGGCAGCGCAGGCTGGCTTCCGCTTCCTGGCTCTGTTCAACTTTTCCTTCCTCCCTCCTGCCACCTTCCTTCCCTCCCCCTCTGTTATAGGCGGAATTGTGTTCCCCCAAAGATGCTGAGGTCCTCACCTCCAGTAAATGGGAATGGGACCTTATTTGGAAACAGTGTCTCTGTAGATGATCAATTTAAGATGAGATCATTACCATGGGCCCTAATCCAATATGGCCGATATCCTCATTTTAAAAAAAGGAAAATAAAAGAAGTTCAGACGCAGAGACAGACTGGAGGGAAGACTGTGAAGGCACACGGAGAGAAAGCCCCGTGACAATGGGGGCAGAGGATGGCCTCATGCAGCCGCAGGGCCCAGAAGGCCAAGGGTTCTGGCCGCCGTCAGAAGCTGGCAAGAGGCAAGGAGATTCTATCCGGAATCTCAGAAGGAGCACCACCCCACTGACACCTCGCTCACAGACTGCCAGCCTTCAGAACCGTGGGACCAGACATTTCTGTCCTTTTAAGCCATTGGGTCTGAGGTCCTTTGTTGTGGTGGCCCCAGGAATCTAGGACACCTTTTCTCTCTTTGCTCCCTCCCTTCGCCTCCTGATCCCAAACACACAGGCCTGGGTGGCCAGGCTCGAAAGAAAGGACCGCCCCCGCCCCCCAGGTCTCACTGACGGATGTGCTCTGAGCCCAGACAGGAGGGCTCCGGAGGCTTCTGCTGCTCCTCAGAAACGGGGATCCTTGCTTAAGCACTTTGCAGAGCACTCGCTATGTCCCAGGTGCCCTTCTAAGAATGCGCTGAGTGCCGACTGCTGTCATCACCCTCGTCTCACGGTCGGGGACGATGCAGCACAGAAGGGCTGAGGAACCTGACAGACGTTGCACAGCTAAGCAGCAGAGCTGGGGTTCAAGCTCGGGCCACCGGGCCCTGGACCTGAGCTCCTGACCACTTTACCTCACTGCGTCATCCCGTTGTGTCAGCCTCCCCGTCTGCTAAGTGGGGACAACTGACAACTGCACTCCCTGTCGCGTGCTCTTGGGTTCTGGTTCCCATCGTGGAGCTCACGGGGCCTTGGAGACGGAAGGAACTGTGACGACTGGCTGGCCCTCTGCCTGAGTGTGTGTGTGTGTCTGTGAGAGCGGGCGCACGTCAGTGCTTGTGTGTGTGTACGTATGTCTACACTTGTGTGTGTGTGCGCCTGTGCTATGTGTGTGTGTGTCTCTGTGTGTACGTCGGTACACATCCACGCTGCCTAATGGCATCTTTTTATTTTTCAGAGTGAGGCTGATGCACTTACTCAAATTAATGTTCACGCTTTGACTGACTCATTTAATGGGAACAGCTAGTCCGTGTGCCAATCTGTGAACTGACCCTCAGGACCCTTCCACCATAAAAACACGGAATGTATCTTAGTCTTCCGTTAACAAGCACTGGACAGTGATCCGCTCTCCGGCAACTTCTTGTTCCCCGCAGCGATGCCCGCTGACCTCCGTCCAGCCCTCCAACCAACAGGGTATGCGGGAGCTCTCGAAGGTAGACAGGGAGTGAGGCCTCCCAGCAGAGAGGGAGAGGGGAGTAGTTCACTCATCAAAAGCAATTTTCCCAAGCGAATTTCCTCGCAGGGGAGGAGCCGTACAGATCACAGCTGGTCAGGGCCGCCAAGTTCGTCCTCCGACTGGCAGCAGAGCCGGGGCCTGGGCCCCTTCGTCCAGCCACCCACTTCTCTCCTTCTGGCCTCCCTCCTTCCCAGGTTTTTCTTCTCTACGACTGCCTGCCCGGTTCCTTGCTTTTTAGTCCAAATATGTAAACCTCTAATAAACCTAGAGGCAGGCTTGTGCCTTGTTTATTCCCCAGTTACCCAAGCGCAGGAGCCGATTAGAAGGCCGATAAAAGGCCCCATGTGCTGTTCTTAGAAATGCTTCCCCAGCACAAATGGCTTAACTCCATAAAGCTCCCCGAGAATGTTAGCTTAGCGGCTCCACCTTTTAAGAAGCTGACCCTTGCCACAAGACCTCGGGTCCACCCAGAGGACTGCAACATAAGAAATCTCAGCAGCCCACGACTGAGCGCGCACACACCAGGCTCCTGGGGACGGCCTCGTCCGGTATTGAACTCACAGCACCCAGCAACTGGCAGGGGCTCGGTACATGTCTAGTGGCTACAGAAATGAATCGAATAATAAATATTAGCTCCGGCCAAACAGAATTAGGAGATTAAATCCTCTAAAGGGAAAAAATATCACATAGCATAGCACATCTCCGCCGGCCGGAAAGATCTTATTCTGATTACCTGTGTTGCGGAGCACCTGTTGTCGGAGACACGGTGTGCGTTCTGGGACTCAGTCCCTCAGGTCAGAGGTTGTGTTCATCTAGCCAACATTTTAGAGTAGCGCCTGTGTGCCAGGCGAACACTGGGCACAGCACGGTAAACCCAACGGATGTGGCCCCCATGTTTATGGCATTCATAGGTCACGGGGAAGTCCATCTCCTTTGGGACTTACTGAACGTGAGGCGACCCCATGGGTGCAGAAGCAGCCCCAGTCTGTCCACACTTTCTAAGACAAGGAAAGAACCCCAAGGCCCACCTACAGGGATCGTGGGTGACCTTTCACCCCTCCCCAGGGGCCCAAACAAGGAGAACAATAGCACTTTATTAGAGACGAAAACCCACTGAACGATCTGTTCCCTAGAACCACTGCCCCCAAAATAAAATAACGAGAACTCAAGAAAACAACAGTTGAGCCCTTAAGAGGGCTGCACACAGCTCTGAGGACACCCAACACCCATGTGACACTAGTAGGAGGCGGGCCTTTGGGAGGTGGGTAGGGTCAGGTGAGGTCACGAGGGTGAAACCCCCATGATGGGATTAGTGCCCTTTAAGAAGAGAAAGAGACGCCAGATCTTTCTGTCTTCATCATGTGAGGATATAGCAAGAAAGCAGCCTTTTGCAGGCCAGAAAGAGGACCCTCCCCAGGCACTGAGTCTGCTGGCACCCTGTCCTTGTACTTTGCAGCCCGTGAGGAACTGTGAGGAATGAATGTCTGTCGTTGAAGCCACCCGGTCTATGGTATTGTGTTACAGCAGCCCAGGCTGACTAAGACAATAGTTTTGCATACAATTCCAGGGGCTCTAGAAAGCCTTTGGCATCCATACGCTTCAGGTTCAGAATCCTCTGTTTAGACACTGGTTATAAACGCTTTAATCATTGCAATTTAGCTCTGAGCTTTCTGGCAGTCAAAGCAAAAGTAGATACTGGGTTCTATCGTTCTCATGTGTTTTCAGGGGGAATATAAGTATATTAAGTCCCACCATCATCTGTGAAGAATTTATGTCTTGGAGGCAAAACAGTAGCTTTTATTTTCCCATTAAGCAGGGACTGCAGGTTGCCTGGGAATCTCAACCTGCACAAGTGGCCACACACCGCCTTGAAATGTGAAACGTTGCCAGCTTCCTTTCGGCAGCAATAGACTGCCATCCGCCCTGGGTGTAAACACAGCTCCAGGTTTGGAGGCAGGTTGCTAAACATGTGCACAGGACATATGGGAGACCCTGGGGGTGCAGCCGCCACCAGGAAACCTTTCGGCAGCCAGCCTGCTGCTGCTGCTCCCATGGCTGCTGCATCTGCTCCCTGTGGTCCCTTCGAACAGCCGGGCGACACCTGGGCCTGTGGACACCCTGCCTGGCCGCTCTCCTGGGAAGACAAGGGACGGAGTCCTGGTGACCTTTCCTGGAACAGACGAGGTGGTCTCCGGGCCCATGACCTGACAGGGGTCTCCAGGGCTGCAGCCGCCCCTGGGCCTTAGCCCGCCCCTCTGCTTTCCAGCTGATCCTGTTTCCTCTCTCCGCTCCCCTTTCCTGCTGATCTCTCTATTTCTGACCCTCCTCTTTCTTTATGTCACTTTGGGCCCTCCTGGTTTTTCCTGTCTCTCTCTCCTCTTCCCTCTCTGGTCTCTCTCTCACCTCCATTCTCCCCTGTTCTCCTCTCATCGATTCCGACTCTGCCCGTCTGTCTCCTACCTCCGTGCTTATTGTATCTATTTCTCCCATTATCTCTCTCCCCTTTTTTTTTCATTCTGCATCTCGAATTAGCGCTCCCCTTTGTCTCCCCATCCGTCTCTCGGAGCGTCTCCCAGACACGGTGTCCCTGTGTTTCTCTCTGTCTTCTGTCAGCACTTTGCGTAGACATCTGACCCTCTCCGCCCCGCCCCGCCGCAGCGCTGCCTCCCTTTCTCCGGCGTCTTTCTCCTTGCCCTCGCTCCGCCCTCCGTTCCTGGTTCTCGGAGATAGAGGCTGGGGTCCAGAGCATCCCCATGCTGCCTGAAGCGTGAGGGCACTTAGTCCGCCCAGGCCCCCGAGCTGTGCCTTACGCGTGCCCCTCTGGTCCCTGGGGTGGCCCCTCATCTCTCTCCCCCTGCCCCTCCACCCTAACACACAGAGGGAGCTCCTGGAGCCCAGCCTGACCTGCAGGCCTCTACGTGGGCCTGGCTCCCTCCCACTTCTGGCTCTGGGGCCTGGTTGCCATGGTTACCTCGGCTCTCTTCAGAGGCCACAGGGGATGGCCGGCACCAGTGGCTTGGACTACCTGGGACCAGACACACCTGTCTGGCTCCTGTGCTTCTCCGCCACAGTTCTCCCACCTCCTCCCCCAGGGACTTCAGCCTGGAGAGCCCACCGCTGCTCTCTAAGAGGCCATGCAGGAATCAAACGGACATTGTGGTAGTTCCTCTGAAAAGAGAAGTTAAAGCCACGGCCAACTCCTCTCCGCTGGGCTCCTGACCAGGATACCACTAGCTGAGGACGGGTCAGACCAAGGCCAGAGCTGCTGAGTCCTTACCAACATCCATCCAATCGTTCAAGGACTCACTCACTCAAATATTTGGAGGCAGAGGGCTGAGTAAAGGCAGGCCCCTGCTTTTGAGAGGCCCCGACAGATGGTGAGGGCAGAGGGTGCACTGCCCACCTCCCTGGGTCTCGGGCATCCAAAAGGAGCTCCAGAGGAGAGGCTGATCACTGGGCCTTAGAAGGTGAAAGGCGGGGGGAGAGTGGCTGTGATGTGAGGCCAGTGACATCACACAGCTTGTGCCGAGGTCCTGGGGAGTGGGAGGACGTGACGGCGCACGAAGGCAGCAACAGCGAGCTCCTGGGGGGCGGTGGCCTTGACGCCTCGTTCAGTGTCCAGCAGAGTGAACGCCAGTGAAGGAGGGGATGGAGGGACGGACCGGTTGCGAGAGGCTCCTTGGAGGCTGGAGGCACAAAGGAGCACGGAGGGGCTGAGGAAAAAGACGTGGGAAGATGTGTTCGGGCAGGGTTTTTAGAAATCTTCTTATTGTTATTATACTACAGTTGTCCCAGTTGTTTCCCCTTTTCCCTCCTCCGCCCCTGCCCTCGGCAGGTTTTATGAAAGGCCCTCCCACCCGGGCCCAAGAGCTGGGACTTCGTGCCTTAGCCGCTGAGGATTTTGCTTGTTTTTCATTCGTTTGTTTCCTTTTTAAAGAAATATCACTTTGGCAGCTGCTTTGAGGATGAACAGGAGTGTGAACTTGTAAAGCTAGCATGTGGAGGACGGAACTCTTGATCTTCCCCACCTTCTCCTAGCACCTGTAAGAAGCAGGAAGAACCACGGCCTCCCCTCGCCAGTCGATGGCAACGTCACCCTCCCAGGTGTCAGCCGAAAACCCTGACATCATCCTTGACTCATCTCCTCCACCGCCTACATCCGATCTGTCAGGAGGCCCCCTGAGCTGAACTTGCAGAATGGGCCTGGAATCCAGCCCCTTCTCCCCGCCCCCACCGTCACCGCCACCAGCCCGGGCTGTTGTAACAGTCCCTAACTTTCTGTTTTCCTCTCCCGTTACCTCCCCCGCCCCAAGTCCCTTCCTGTGACAGCAGCCAGAGTGATCGATCCCCTTAAAATGTAAGTCAGGTCATGCCATTTTCTAGCTCAAAACCCCGTGATGGCTCCCTCCACGGCAAGCTGAGGAAAGGCCAAGGCCTGCGTGCAATGGCTCGAGTGCCTACACGACCTGCCCCTCAGCCCGTCACCTCTTCCATTTGCTCTCCTGCAGCTCTGCACCCCACACTTCCTGCATGCTGGCCTCCGTGCTCTGATTCAAACGCTGCCGGCAAGTGCTTGCCTCAAGGCCTCTGCCCTGGCTGTCCCCTCTGCCTGGCGTGCTCCTCCCCCAGATGCCCTCACTGCTTTCGCATCTTCCTGAATGTAAAGCCCTCTCCTCGGTGCGGCCCGCCTGCTTCCTGCACTAGTTTTCCAGGCTGCCGTAACAGGGTGCTGCCAACAGGGTGGCTTAGACCACAAACCTCCCTGCTCTCAGTTTGAGAGGCCTGAAGTCCAGGGCCGGTTCTTTCTGAGGGCCTCGGGGAGAACCTGTTCCATGCTCCCCTCTAGCTTCCGGGAGTTGGCGGGCAATGTTTGGTGACATTTCTGCCTTCTTCTTCACATGGCATTCTCCCTATGCACACGTCTGTGCACACATTTTCCCTTCAACGAGACCGATTACGACGAGGCCACATCCTCAGGGATGGGGAGACACTGACGTCAACAAAGGAACATAAATGGGACACGACTCCACCCGTAACAGCCACCCCATTGGAAATCGTACTGCCCCCTCCGCTCTCCCTAATCCCAGTCTCTGTTTGTAGGTAGTGTAATCACTGCCCCAGCTCTGGAGAACGTCCTTCCCTGTCATGCTTCTTGTTCACTGCGTCTCCCCTCCTGTGAGACTGTGAGGGCCGTGAGGGCGGGCCTGTTCGTTTTTGTTCACCAGAATATCCCGGGGGCCCAGGTCAGGTCCTGCCGCAGCATAGTGGCTCAGTGACCTTTTCGAGATGAAGGGGGACAGACAGGAACCTGACGGACCATTCAGGGGGCTATTGTGTGGCCTAGTCCTGACAAAGGCCACACAAAAGGGACGATGAGCAAGGGATAGATGGACAGGACATTATGGAGTTAAAATAGTCAGGATTTGGTGGCTCTTAGATGATTTTTAAAAGCAGGGGGATAGAATAAAAATAGGAGGCGTTCCAGAGTTTTCTAATCACTTTCTGGCTAGTCAGTGTCTGTGGCAGGCACTGTTGGTTGCCCCCCGCCCCCATCATGCCCAACCCCCACCTCCCTGGCTGTCTTCAACCACCTGAGGCTGCAAGTGTGACAGCCATCTTGCCACCATAAGGAAAAGGTCAAGAGAACCAAAGAGACCATCAGCTCCTGAAGGACAAGTTAGCAAGGTGAAGTGGGAAGGGAGAGCAGGAACAGCAATGGGAAGGCTCCGAGACAGGGAGGGAGGCTGCTGGGTGGATAGGTGGATGGGAGGGGTGAACGCCTGGTTGGAGAGGTGACCGAGTGAATGGGTGGGTAGATTGATGGAGCCCGGGGTGCACGAAAGATGTAAGAATTGTACAACCTGCTTGGCCGACTGTCACGTCAGAGCAGCCACCTCGAGCAGGAGGCAGTGGGGAGGGCCCTGGGTCGGGCCATTATCCACTGTTGGCCCTTTGATCTGAAACCCAGGCCACACTAATGACAGCTGCCCCCACTCCCAGCTTTCTGCCCCCCTCCTGGGAGTCCTGGAGACAGGGTTATTTATAGCCAATTACTCCCTGCCCCTCTCCACCCCCCCCCACACACACACTTGCCTCTCTCTGGCCACTTCCTTCTATTCTTCTGCCTTACGTGTGGGAGGCAGTGGCCCTGGCTCCACAGACACCGCCCCCTCCTTTCTTTTCTCCTTATCTCCCTCACGGCTGAGCTTCCTGCCCGAAGAGATAGAAGGAAAAGGCAGACCCCCCTCGTGAGAGTCAGGGCCAGGCTCTCAGAGGCCCCAGGGTCGGGGGCACTGCTCAGGGCCCAAGGCCCCCACCTGGCCAGCTCCCTCTGCCAGAGTGAAGTGTCCAGGTGTCCGGGGCACCCAGGCGTGGGATGCCTGAACCAGGGGCCGGGATGGTGGTGACGATGCGTGTAGCTGCCTGACTAAGAGAGTGTGCTTTACCTCTGCATCGTCTGCAGGCTTGGGTGAGTCACAGCCTCCCTCAGCCTCAGTTTCCCCCTCTTTGAAAGAGCTCTGGGGAACGGTGCCCACCTCCCAGGGTTGCTGTGAGAATTAAAGGGGACAATGGAAGTCACAGCATGACCGAAGATGGTTCACTTTTGTTGTTAAGGCAGGCAGCCCCTTCTTGAGCTCTGTGGGGAGGAAAAGGGATGCCCGCTGGGCCGGCAGGGTCCCGAGCAGGGCAGGGGCTGGGGAGCAGGTGCATCTCAGACCTGCCGGGCTCAGGTCTAATGATGCTCATTCCCCTGGGCCTGGGAATGGCTTGGGAAAGCGGGCCTCTGGCATCCTGCCTGTGGCTTCCGGGAAAGACCCAGGCTCCCGACGCCAGGCCCTCCCTCTGCACCTTCCACCCCTACACAGCAGGGATGGAGGGAGCTCCTCCCAGTGTCCTTTTGCAGCAAGTGAAGGAAAGGCCCACAGAGACCCCCACCCCCACTCCCACCCCAGACTTCCCCTCAGAGCCTGATACACCCCTGCCTAGCCGAGGATCCTGAGGCGACAAGAGGGCAGGGATGACATCAAAGAAAAGGGTCCAAATGGTGGCCCTCTGGCAGCAGGGGTCTGTCTGACTGTTCCTGGGCACTTCTCCCATGATGGCCCTCTGGTATGACATGTACTCATTCAACAAACATTTTCAAGCACCTACTATGTGCCAGGCACACTGCTAGACCCTGGAGATACAGAAGTGGCCCAAAATAGGGAAGGTCCTCGCTGTCTTCTGGGGAACAGAAGACAAGCGGGTCAACAACAGAAACGATTGCCGATTGGGACACGTGTTACCAGGGGACCAGCAGAGCGCGAGAACAGGAAGTGGTAGCAGGGGTGGCTGCTCCAGACAGGGTGGTCGTACAGCCACTCACAAGAGGAGACATGTCACAGCCCCGGCCACGGCCACGTGAAAACTGGGGGACTGCTCCAGGCGGAGGGAAAGGCAGGTGGGGAGACTCTGTGGGGCGAGAGTCCGAAATCAAAGTGTCCTGACTCAGACTGCGGGTCCGCTTGAACTTGTTTCTCCTCCAGCTTCTACCTGTTTCCCTAGTCACCTGCAGCTCCCACTTCTGGGGCTCGCAGGCCCTCTGCCACTGGGCTGAGAAGCCTGCCTCCCAAACGGTTCTGTCATCAAGTTCCCACGCCACCCCGGGCCGGACTACAGAGAACCTCCTCACTGGCCCCACCCTCCAGTCCATCCGCCTCCCTGCTCCCAGGGATCGGTCTGCAGCCAGCACCCTCAGGGAGCTGCCCTGCTCCAAAACCTTCCGCCGCTCCCCACTGCCTACTCAACTACAACCGCTCCACCTCCCTGGGCCTCCTGGATGCTTCCCGATGACATCACAGTCTGCTTGCCCTGGGCTGTGTCCCTGTCACCATGCTTCGCTTCTTGCAAAGAGCATATTATGCTCCCCTGTCCTCTGTGCCTTTACTCATGTCGCCCCCCCCTCCCAGAATGCCGCTCCCCCATTGCTCCTCCGCACTCATCACCTGTGATCACTGCACAGCTGCATGTCCATGGCCCGGCACACGTTCCCCTGTCCATGTTCTCACCATGCTGTGTAGGGAGGGGTCTAGGGGTCCTTGCTGTCCCCAGGAGGGAAGCCTTTTTCACATTTGGGTCCCTGATACCAGCCCAGGACTAATGGACAGGAGACAAAACAGTGTAGCCCCTTGGGTCGACTCGAAATAACCTCAGGTGAGAGTCCCAGCTCAGCCGCTCCTGCCTAGGTGCTCAGTTTCCTCATCTGCACAATGGGGATAATATTAGTACCTATTACATCAGCCTGATGAGACGATTAAAGGATATGTTTAATGGGGTGGCACTGCATCCAGGCATGTTTTGGAAACGGACGGGGACATTTTGGATTGTCACAAAGCCAGGGCAGGTGGGGAGTGCCACACTGTTTAAGGGGCAGTGGGCGGAGGAAGGCAGGTGAGGAGCGAAGAGTGGGACCGTCCAGACCATGATCCACGTGAGTCTCCCGTGTGCTGCTGGACGTCAAGTAGGGGAGAAGACATGTTTATGTCGTAACTCAGCGCTCCGTATAAATAGAAAGCGTGTTTGCACAGTTTGAATATACACAGAATTTTCCAGGGGCGGAACTCAAGACGAAAGCCAGAGAAGTCTATATTTAGTTTTATGCGAACATGCCAAGAGCTGCGTGCCATTTGCTGAGCGGTGACGCGGGCGGTCTCGCTCAGCGCCCCGTGTGTCTGCACATCTGCGGCCGCTGTCACCTTCGCAGCAGCTCTGCTGGGCCCCGCGCTCCCGACAACCTCGTTGTGTCTCCTGGAGCGGCTGTGCCTGAGCACTTACCTGTTCCGACAGATTTTATTTTACCCGAGGTTCTTTTTATGGCTCCCTTATACCACAGTTGGGGCATTATGTATGGATACTTTAAAAAATTATGTATGGGGCAAGTTACAGTGTCCACGGGGTTCATTCCAGAGCATTAAAGAGGATATTCCGTATGTTTAATAAAAGAAGGTGTGAGAGGGTGGAGAACTGGTGTTGCAGAGCCCTGATGAACGTGGAAGAATTCCGACATTATTGTTTGGGGCTTAATACACACCCGATGGGTGAATGAATACGAACGCCTGGAGACACGCTGTTAAAGGAGACTCTCCCGTTACCCTCACACT